TTATATAGCGAGTGGTGAATATATTTATTGTAGGAAGTCTGAAGAAATGAAGAATGAGTATAATTGAAAATCGCTCCATTAGTGAAATGCTGTAAAGTGAAGCACTGTAAAGGTAAGCCGGCCTGTACAAGGAAGCCAGAAGTGATATGCTGTAAAGTGAAGCACTGTAAAGGTAAGCCGGCCTGTACAAGGAAGCCAGAAGTGATATGCTGTAAAGTGAAGCACTGTAAAGGTAAGCCGGCCTGTACAAGGAAGCCAGACAACAGACGAGGATGAAGAACCTGCACATAAATTTAATGTTACAACAGCTACATGAGCAGTTCCATATTACTGATAAAGTTGCAGACTTTCACTGAAGAGAACAGTGACATAACTACAAGCACTGCTCTGAAATGGGGTCTGAAGTAGATGATGATGCCTTACCATCAGCTGTATAAAGTACTGCAGGATAAACCAGATGTAAGATGCATTGCAGAATTTCTCAGTACTCCATTACAACCATCAACATCAGTGCAAGAACCTCAGCTATCCACCTCAGCCAATGATCCACAGCCCAGTAGGACCATACCATACCTCTTTACTCCTTTCAAAATCAACATACACCAGCAACCAAGATTTAAGGTAAGAAATAGTATTATTTACGTAGCCTTTGTAGCCATAAATTCTTTTTTTTTTCAACAAGTCGGCTGTCTCCCACCGAGGCAGGGTGACCCAAAAAGAAAGAAAATCCCCAAAAAGAAAATATTTTCATCATCATTCAACACTTTCACCTCACCCACACATAATCACTGTTTTTGCAGAGGTGCTCAGAATACAACAGTTTAGAAGCATATACGTATAAAGATACACAACATATCCCTCCAAACTGCTAATATCCCGAACCTCTCCTTTAGAGTGCAGGCATTGTACTTCCCATTTCCAGGACTCAAGTCCCTTCACTAAATATTACCCTGCTCACACTCCAACAGATTGTCAGATCCCAAATACCATTTGTCTCCATTCACTCCTATCTAACACGCTCATGCATGCCTGCTGGAAGTCCAAGCCCCTCGCCCACAAAACCTCCCTTACCCCTTCCTTCCAACCTTTTCGAGGACGACCCCTATCCTGCCTTCCTTCCCCTACAGATTTAAATGCTCTCCATGTCATTCTACTTTGATCCATTCTCTCTAAATGACCAAACCACCTCAATAACCCCTCTTCAGCCCTCTGACTAATACTTTTTTAACTCCACACCTTCTCCTAATTTCCACACTCGAATTTTCTGCATAATATTTACACCACACATTGCCCTTAGACAGGACATCTCAATGCCTCCAACGCCTCCTTGCTGCTGCATTCACAACCCAAGCTTCACACCCATATAAGTGTGTTGGTACTACTATACTTTCTACTTCCCTTCTTTGCCTCCATAGATAACATTTTTTGACTCCACATATACTCAATGCACCACTCACCTTTTTTCCCTCATCAATTCTATGATTAACCTCATCCTTCATAAATCCATCCGCTGACACGTCAACTCCCAAGTATCTGAAAACATTCACTTCTTCCAACTCCTCCTCATCACCTTACTCTTTTCTATGTTCACTTTCAACTTTCTACCTTTACACACACTCCCAAACTCATCCACTAACCTTTGCAATTTTTCTTTAGAATCTCCCATAAGCACAGTATCATCAGCAAAAAGTAACTGTGTCAATTCCCATTTTGTATTTGATTCCCCATAATTTAATCCCACCCCTCTCCCAAACACCCTAGCATTTACTTCTTTTACAACCCCATCTATAAATATATTAAACAACCATGGTGACATTGCACATCCCTATCTAAGACCTACTTTTACTGGAACATAGTCTCCCTCTCTTCTACACACCCAAACCTGAGCCTCACAATCCTCATAAAAACTCTTTACAGCATTTAGTAACTTACCACCTATTCCATATACTTGCAACATCTGCCACATTGCTCCCCTATCCACTCTATCATATGCCTTTTCTAAGTCCATAAATGCAATAAAAACTTCCCTACCTTTATCTAAATACTGTTCACATATATGCTTCAATGTAAACACTTGATCTACACATCCCCTACCCACTCTGAAACCTCCTTGCTCATCCGCAATCCTACATTCTGTCTTACCTCTAATTCTTTCTTTCTTTCAACACACCTGCTGTATCCCACTGAGGCGGGGTGGCCCAAAAGAAAAACAAAAGATTCTCCTTTTACATTCAGTAATATATACAGGAGAAGAGGTTACTAGCCCCTTGCTCCCGGCATTTTAGTCGCCTCTTACAACACGCATCGCTTACGGAGGAAGAATTCTGTTCCACTTCCCCAAGGAGATAAGAGGAAATGAACAAGAATAAGAACTAGAAGAAAATAGAAAAAAACCCAGAGGGGTGTGTATATGTGTGCTTGTACATGTATGTGTAGTGTGACCTAAGTGTAAGTAGAAGTAGCAAGACATACCTGAAATCTTGCATGTTCATGAGACAGAAAAAAAGGACACCAGCAATCCTACCATCATGTAAAACAATTACAGTTGTAAAACAATTACAGGTTACCTCTAATTCTTTCAATAATAACCCTACCGTACACTTTTCCTGGTATACTCAGTAAATTTATTCCTCTATAATTTTTACAATCTCTTTTGTCCCCCTTCCCTTTATATAAAGGGACTATACATGCTCTCCGCCAATCCCTAGGTACCTTCCCCTCTTTCATACATTTATTAAACAAAAGTACCAACCACTCCAACACTATATCCCCCCCCCTGCTTTTAACATTTCTGTCATGATCCCATCAGTTCCAGCTGCTTTACCCTCTTTCATTCTACGTAATGCCTCACGTACCTCCCCCACACTTACATTCTGTTCTTCTTCACTCCTAAAAGATGGTACACCTCCCTGGCCAGTGCATGAAATTACCGCCTCCCTTTCTTCCTTAACATTTAAAAGTTCCTCAAAATATTCTCGCCATCTACCTAATACCTCCCTCTCCCCATCTACTAACTCCCCTACTCTGTTTTTAACTGACAAATCCATACGTTCCCTAGGCTTTCTTAACTTGTTTAACTCACTCCAAAATTTTTTCTTATTTTCATTAAAATTTCTTGACAGTGCCTCTCCCACTCTATCACCTACTCTCCTTTTGCACTCTCTCACCACTCTCTTTACCTTTCTTTTACTCTCCATATACTCTGCTCTTCTTATAACACTTCTGCTTTGTAAAAACCTCTCATAAGCTAACTTTTTCTCTTTTATCACACCCTTTACTTCATCATTCCACCAATCACTCCTCTTTCCTCCTGCCCCCACCCTTCTATAACCACAAACTTCTGCCCCACATTCTAATACTGCATTTTTATAACTCATCCAACCCTCTTCAACCCCCCCACTACTCATCTTTGCAGTAGCCCACCTTTCTGCCAATAGTCGCTTATATCTCACCCGAACTTCCTCCTCCCTTAGTTTATACACTTTCACTTCCCTCCTACTTGTTGTTGCCACCTTCCTCTTGTCCCACCTACCTCTTACTCTAACTGTAGCTACAACTAAATAATGATCCGATATATCAGTTGCCCCTCTATAAACATATACATCCTGGAGCCTACCCATTAACCTTTTATCCACCAATACATAATCTAACAAACTACTTTCATTACGTGCTACATCATACCTTGTATATTTATTTATCCTCTTTTTCATAAAATATGTATTACTTATTATCAAATCTCTTTCTACACATATCTCAATTAAAGGCTCCCCATTTACATTTACCTCTGACACCCCAAATTTACCTACTACTCCCTCCACAACATTTTTACCCACTTTAGCATTGAAATCCTCAACCACAAGTACTCTCACACTTGGTTCAAAACTTCCCATGCATTCACTCAACATTTCCCAAAATCTCTCTCTCTCATCTACACTTCTCTCTTCTCCAGGTGCATATAAGCTTACTATAACCCACTTTTCACATCCAACCTTTATTTTACTCCACGTAATCCTTGAATTAATACATTTATAGTCCCTCTTTTCCTGCCATATCTTATCCTTCAACATTATTGCTACTCCTTCTTTAGCTCTAACTCTATTTGAAACCCCTGACCTAATCCCATTTATTCCTCTCCACTGAAACTCTCCCACCCCCTTCAGCTTTGTTTCACTGAAAGCCAGGACATCCAGCTTCTTCTCATTCATAACATCCACAATCATCTCTTTCTTATCATTTGCACAACATCCACGCACATTCAGACTTCCCACTTTGACAATTTTCTTCTTATTCTTTTTAGTAATCTTTACAGGAAAAGGGGTTACTAGCCCATTGTTCCCGGCATTTTAGTTGACTTTTACAACAAGCATGGCTTACGGGGGAAAGATTCTTACTCCACTTCCCCATGGATATAAAAGGAAAAGTAATAAGACCAAGAACTATTAAGATAAAATCAAAGAAAACTCAGATGAGTGTGTATAAATAAGCGTGTACATGTATGTGTAGTGTGACCTAAGTGTAAGCAGAAGTAGCAAGACATACCTGTAATCTTGTATATTTATGAGACAGACAAAAGACACCAGCAATCCTACCATCATGTAAAACAATTACAGGCTTTCGTTTTACACTCACTTGGCAGGACGGTAGTACCTCCCTGGGTGGTTGCTGCCTACCAACCATAAATATTAGAGTAAATTTAAGACCTACAATTACATTTTCTTTTTAATTTTGAGACCTAAAAAACTTTGCTTGCCATTTTTGAGATCTGAGGACCATAACCCTATTGTATCCACAGGTTCAACAGTTTATTTTAGAAGATTTTTTGATTACACACCATTTTCAGGGTAGCTATTGTCTAAACTACTGGTGTTCTGTATTATGAGTTTCAGGATTCTTGGCCAGGGCCAGCATGTGTGGGCATGCTACCGATGGTTACTCTAAAGCGGGAGGTTAGGTCTATACAACTTGCAGTTTTCTAGCAAGAGAGAGTTCCTAGTTCTTACCATTGTAACAGTTTATTGGAGACAGTCAGTGGAGAATCAATGAATGTTCTGTGTGTAAGCAGGAAATCTTCCACATAAGTTGGGTCCACATTGTTCTCCACCTCCACCAACTGTTGCATCAGTCTCTCTGCAGTGCCCTGCAACAAAACAAAGTAATTACTGTTGCAAAGTGAGAGGACTTAGTAGAAGGCAAAAAACATGATAAAAACAATTAACATCATGGAAGGAAAAGTACAGTACTTGGAAGTCATTGAAAAATATCTAGCAGAAAAAGTGCAGTATACAGTACTGTACTACAAGTACTGTATCTACAATAAGAAATATACAGTACTGTACTACAAGAACTGTACCAACAATAAGAAATATACAGTGCTGTACAAGAACTGTGAGACAACTAGTAGTACAGTTTACCAAACAACCATGTATGTGCCTTGTAAACCTTGGTAATCTAGTTTACAAGGCATCTGGGTAACTAGGAGAATCACTAGATACAGTAAAGTACTGTACTAAAATACAGCTGTATCTTCTTCATACAGTACTTTGTGTATTACAGCACCTGGACTAGTACCAGTTTACCTGTGCTAGTACTAGTTTAACTGTACTAGTGCCAATTTACCTGAACTACTATCAGTTTACCTGTGCTACTACCAGTTTATTTTACCAGACACAGTTTACCTGTACAGTACTAATACCAAAAACAGTTTACCTGTGCAGTACTAGTACCAGACACAGTTCACCTGTACAGTACTAATACCATACACAGTTCACCTGTACAGTACTAGTACCAGACATGGTTTTCCTGTACAGTACTAGTGCCAAGTGGTTTACCTGTACAGTACTAGTACCAGACAGTTTACCTGTACAGTACTAGTATCAAGCACAGTTTACCTGCACAGTACTAGTACCAGACACAATTTACCACAATATACTCGTGCAATGATATTAATAGTGCAGCACTTGCCACCAACCTTAATAACAATGTTGCCCTTCCTGTTGCCTGCATCTATAGGTCTTTGTTCTGTCACTAAGACCAGCACTCCATTCTCTTCATGACGACGGATGTTCTCCTCTGATTGGTGGAGGATGCGGTAGTAGTCTGTCTGAGGGATGCACACAAACTGGCAGTCATCCACTTTAGAACGCATGATACCCTGGTGGTATAGTTTCTCCATCGTTGGGGTTATACCAAAACTGGAACAGAGAGATTTTGGTTAGTGTATTGACATTCTTGTATAACTGTGGTCGCATGTGTCATCATGACTGTAAAAAAATAAGAAGGAACAATATACAAATAACCCCACATACAGGAGAATATAATATAATAATCTTTATTTCTACAAGCACATGATACAACTTATACAGGCATGGATAACATCACTGACATGCTATATAGAAAGCCCCTGGTTATGGAGAGCATTTCTGGATGTGACCCACACTAGTTGACTAATACCCCAGGTACCTACCTACTGCTAGGTGAACAGGGATATCAGGTGTAAGGTGACTAATACCCAGGTACCTACGTGCTGTTAGGTGAACAGTGACAGCAGGTGTAAGGAAACATGCCCAATGCTTCCACCCATACCATGGACACTCAATGTGTGAGCTGTGTGTGCTACCAACTGAGCTCTAAGACACTTGTGACGACATTTCGGTCTGACCTAGACCATTAATTAAGTAGTTTCATTCTCCCATGTGCAGGTTGTGTCATGAGTCTGAATAAAAAATCTCTGGTGGGAGGGTCTTTGATGCCGGGGAAAGAGGATCTTGATCTTCAGAACCGGCTCAGTCTTTCCCTTCCTCGGATCAAAGCTCCCATCCCCATTCCGCAGACTATATCACCCCTACAGGTGTAGCACTTCCATCATGAATGCAGTAATAATAATTATAAACAAATTTCTTTATTTGGAATTATTACAGCACATAAATCAAACACTACAGTATTTACTAAGTTGTAAAAGTAAACTTCTACAATTTATAGCATCGTTTGACAACTTTAAAAATTATTACGAAACATACAAATCTTAAACTCTTTCTTACTCTATGACTCAAATTGATTTTGAAATATCATTTACATACACGCATTTTTAAAATCTTTTTTTTTTTTTAAACAAGCATGAATTCTGTTTTTGCAGTTTACTGTACTCCAGATGAAGTTCATGCAGAGCCGTCAGTTGGGTTACCTCAAGTGACATTAATTAGAACTCCATGAGTCCCTCTCCTGATTCATGAGGACAGTGCAGCTTCCTCACCCTGAAAACCTGCATCCAAAGTATCGTATAAGATGCAGATTCTTCAGTTATTATTGTAATGCGAAGTTACATGCCATTATGACAAAATTATATAAATTAAAAGTGCTCTACATTGCTTCAATTCTCTCTATATAATGATTTTTTTGAAAATGTGGATTAAACAAAAGTGATTAAAATGAATAGGTCAATCTTAAGATTAAAGGAAATTCATGACGAGCCGTCCAAACCAATACAAAAACACAAGTAACCGCACATACCAGACTAAAACTTTGACAACGTTTTGTCCAGCCTTGGACCATTGACAAGTACTTACTTGGTCCAAGTCACGAAAGCTTGTCATAGTTTGTCTCCTCAGTGTATTATTTGTGAATTACTATACAGCTTTTTACCAAACAATTCAATATTTGGATTAAATTGTCATATTCAAACTGCATTTATATGATCAAAGTTGATGCAACAGAACTCTTGCAATCTTACCACAGCTTGAAGGAACATGGCCTTCTGAACAGACATACAACCTCACATAGCTGAGACAAACCTCCTGACAGACATACAACCTACCATGCTTGAGACTGGCCTTCTGGCCAGATACAACCTACCATACGCTTGAGACATGGCCTCCTCTTATGTACATGACATACAAACTACATGCTTGAGAACATGGGCTTCCTGACAGACATACAACCTACCATAGCTTGAGACATGGCCTTCCTGACAGACATACAACCTACCACAGCTTGAGACATGGCCTTCCTGACAGACATACAACCTACCACAGCTTGAGACATGGCCTTCCTGACAGACATACAACTTACCACAGCTTGAGACATGGCCTTCCTGACAGACATACAACCTACCACAGCTTGAGACATGGCCTTCCTGACAGGCATACAACCTACCATAGCTTGAGACATGGCCTTCCTGACAGCCAAAGTCATATTGGAAAAAGATCGCAGCCGCTGTGTAAACTCCAACAGCACTTTAATGTCATCCTCCGTCCTCTCACTGGGGTCCTTCTCGAGGCATTCCCGTACTGCATCGCGTACTGCTAAACTCTGTGTGTGGAGAAACACACACAATCTTATTAGTCTTGTGGATTTATGATGGTCTATCCCATTAAGTTCCTAAAAACTGTCAGAGATTAAATATTAAATGTTCTCAACTCAATGTCACATTTGTGTATAATAATAATAATAATAATAATAATAATAATTAATAATTAATATAATATTATACGGAAGATTCTAAAGAAAAATTGCAAAGGTTAGTGGGATGAGTTTGAGAATGTGTGTAAAGGTAGAAGTTGAAAGTGAACATAGAAAAGAGTAAGGTGATGAGGTATCAAATGATTTAGATAAAGAAAAATTGGATATCAAATTGGGGAGGAGGAGTATGGAAGAAGTGAATGTTTTCAGATATTTGGGAGTTGACGTGTCGGCAGATGGATTTATGAAGGATGAGGTTATCATAGAATTATGAAGGAAAAAAACGGTGAGTGGTGCTTGAGGTATTTGTGGAGAAAAAAACATTATCTATGGAGGCAAAGAGGAATGTATGAAAGTATAGTAGTACAACACTCTTATATGGATGTGAAGCTTGGGTGGTAAATGCAGCAGCGAGGAGACAGTTGGAGGCAGTGGAGATGTCCTGTCTAAGGAGCAATGTGTGTGTAAATATTATGCAGAAATTCGGAGTGTGGAAATTAGGAGATGTGGAATTAATAAAAGTATTAGTCAGAGGGCAGAAGAGGGGTTGTTGAGGTGGTTTGGTCATTTAGAGAGAATGGATAAAGAGAATGACATGGAGAGCATTTAAATCTGTAGGGGAAGGAAGGCAAGATAGGGGCCGTCCTCGAAAAGGTTGGAAGGAAGGGGTAAAGGAGGTTTTGTGGGCGAGGGGCTTGGACTTCCAGCAAGCGTGCGCGAGTGTGTTAGATAGGAGTGAATGGAGACGAATGGTATTTGGGACCTGACGATCTGTTGGAGTGTGAACAGGGTAATATTTAGTGAAGGGATTCAGGGAAACAGGTTATTTTTATATAGCCAGACTTGAGTCCTGGAAATGGGAAGTACAATTAAAGGAGGGGTTTGGGATATTGGCAGTTTGGAGAGATATGTTGTGTATTTTTATACACAATATATCATTCAACACTTTCACCTCACTCACACATAATCACTGTTTTTGCAGAGGTGCTCAGAATACAACAGTTTAGAAGTATTGTGCATTTTTATACAGTACTTTATCACGGGTCTAGTCTCGTGATAAAGTACTGTGTACTCTGATACAGAGTTAGCAGGTTCGAGTCCTGCTGAGGACGTAGAGACAATGTTTGTAAATAATTTCGCCTGTTTGCAAATTGTTAAGCATATATAATGTGTGTGTGGGGGGGGGGGGTACCGAATAGGTAAAATTGGTCAATTACCAAGAACTCGTTTAAAATTAAGTCCTTTCTAAAATTTTCTCTTATACGTTTAAACATATATAATTTTTTTTCATTGATGTTAAAGTAAAAATTTATCATTTTGTACCAAAAGAACCTTATAATCAGGTTAGGTAAGTTTTCTAACAAGTGCAATTTAATTTAGCTTAATCCAACTAAATATATTTTATTTAAGTTTACAATAATTTAATAATAAACAAACACAATGAAACATTTTTTTGTTAGGTTCAGAATGAGTTTTGCGACATTATTGCATACACAAATTTTCGCTTGTCTTATTCGGCAAGAAGAACGTTGCTATTTCAGCCACAATCGTAAGTTTTACCTAAAGTGCTTCTTACTACTGATCTTTGAGGTTATTATTCACTTCAGGTCCTGGTCAAAGTTGATAAATAATTTATTCCTTAAAATATATAACATTAGATGTTATATTAATTACGTAGCTTTTTTTTTTTCTGGGGGGGGGGTAAAAAAAAAAAAGGTAACTTAACATAACACAAACTTGCTCTGTCAGCGGTAGATGTGGAAATGGCGTGCCTCTGTTTACCTTCGATGCGTCTTTGTTTACGATGCTGTGATTGGCCAGGAGTGTTACATGTCTCAATACTAACAGTTGATTGGCTGTGACGCGCTGCTCACGCCAAAAATACGCTATTTTTACTGTCGCCCAAAATAAAAAAATTTACCAGGGTATACGTAACATACTTGTAGTGAACATGATACAGTGAGTTGTGACCAGGACATAACGTCAATACTGACCTGTTCACTCAATAGTAACCTACATAAGATTAACTAGTATGTATAGTTCGATCCTCTTCAGAAGAGGATCTAAATTAGACACGTGTGCAACACTTGGGTCTCTACTGTAGAAACGTTTCGCCACACAGTGGTTTCGCCTCACCTGTCTACAATATCTTATCCCCTTCGCAGATATGGCGTATTCTTTTCAAGATTAACTAACTCCAAGCTGAGGGGCCGATTACTTCATGCTCCTGTTCTTCAACCATTCTTCTTCGTACTGGACTGATGAAGCCACTGTGTGGCTAAACGATTCCAGGATAAAGATACCCAAGTGTTGCACATGTCTAATTTATCATCCACCGACCTGTTTTTATTAGTAAGTTCCTTTAATATATAAGCAACATTCTTGGCAGCTTACCTCAATACTCTCAGCCAAGTCTTCTTCGTCAGAATCTATGGCGCTCTCCGTCAGGCCCGACAGATCTACATCGTCGGGCTCTAAGGAGGACTGCAGTGAGTGACACATGGTGTCAGAGCCAGAGTAGGCACTGGAGGTGTCAGAGCCATCACGCACTGATGAACCCACACTGCCACGGTTTCTGGCCCCACTCAGGATGGCACTGCCCACCAGATCCGGCAGGTAGTTGTCGTGGTGGGAGTGGTGGTGGTGGTGGTCAGTGTCGTATTGGTGGTGGTGGTGGCCGGGTGGTGGGGGTGGTGCCCCATGGCCCCCCGGCCTGATGGTAATCTCATCTTGTTCCAGGGCCATCAACTTCTCCAGGTTCATGGTGTTGCAAGACACTCACTGCCCTGGCCGCATCAACTGCACGTCCGGGTAGTCAATCTGCAGAAACACAAAGATAACATTGTAATACAGTTAAAATGTTTTGCCCTGCAACCGTATATATGAGTACACACACACACACACTTAGAGGAACGTTTCGCCAGGATTGGCTTCTTTAATTCTGCAAAAGGACACAAGTGCAACTAATGTGACATTTTATTGTGGGAACGTTTCGCTCTCCAGGAGCTTTATCAAGCCGTTACAAACAGTACACGGCTTGACAAAGCTCCTGGAGAGCGAAACGTTGCCACAATAAAATGTCACATTAGTTGCACTTGTGTCCTTTTACTTTACATATTGTCGGTAATTCTACCAACTTTATTACATTCTTTAATTCTGAAAAAGCCACTCGTGGCGAAAAGTTTCCTTTAATAAATGTCCTGAACTGTACATAAGTGTCTTTTTCCACATCTTGTCGGTATCACCATACCATTTTTCAAGAATGACGAGGTTAATTTAATATACTCAGATAAGATAAGATATATTGACCGTGCTTTTTGTAATAGGAATAAGAAGATGAGAGATAGAGTGTGCTTCCCTGGAGCTGGTGTTGGGGACATTGTCAACAGGCTGGATAATATCATGTCAGGTAATGGGAACAAGCCCATTATCTGTCTCAGTGCTGGTGGAAATGATATTGGGAAGGGTAGGAGAGAAGAGCTGCTAGATAAGTACAGGTCAGCTATAGATTTCATTAAGTCTAAGGGAGGGATCCCAATCATATGTAGCATCTTGCCTAGATGGGGAGTAGGAAATGAATGGTTGTCTAGGGCAATTGGTGTAAATTGCTGGCTAGACAGATACTGCAAGGAACTTGCAATCCCATTCATTGACAACTGGAACAACTTTTATGGCAAACATGATATGTATGCAAGGGATGGGGTACATCTCTCTGGGGCTGGGGTTGGTAGCACTTGCAGACTCGATTGAGAAGGCCATTGGTTGAAATGCCTATGATTTTAAACTGATGGAAGATAGAGGTATGGGTGTGTGTGGGGAAACAAGCAGGTTGAAACACTTGGGTTGGAAACAGTAAATGTATAAAAGGCATTCAGCATGAAGTTATAAATAAAGACAATAGATCAGGTCAGCAACAAGGGGGACAGCAGAGGGCAGCAAGGGACTAGCTCCCTTAAGGTTTACTATACTAATAGCAGGAGTGTAAGAAATAAGATAGATGAGCTAAGATTAATTGCAAGTGCAGGAAACATAGAATTATTGCTATAACAGAGACCTGGCCTCAATCTGAAAGATAGAGAGATGCCCTCTGAATGTCACATACAAGGCTATAAATTATTCCACACTGACAGGGTCAACAGGAAAGGTGGTGGAGTAGCGATGTATGTCAGAGACAATTTAAATTGTTGTGTTAGACAAGATATTAAATTAGAAGCGTCAGCCACTGAATCTGTTTGGTTACAGCTTCTCGAGGGCCGAGAAAAACTAATTTTGGGCGTGATTTACAGGGCCCCAAATCTTGATAGGGAGTGCAGTAAACTTCTATGGGACGAAATTCGTAAGGCATCTACATACGAAAATGTTGTGCTAATGGGACATTTCAACTATAGACAGATTGACTGGAGCAATTTGACAGGAAATTTAGAGTCAGGTGACTTTCTTGATACGATCCAGGATTGTTTTTTAAAACAGTTTGTGACAGAGCCAACTAGGGGAAATAACCTCCTTGACTTGGTTCTTGCCAGTAGGGAAACACTAATTAATAATCTTGAGGTTAGTGATGAGCTTGGGGAAAGTGATCACAAATCACTCAGTTTTAATATATCATAGAATTCCCCTAATAATGGCAATCAAGTCTCCGTCCCTGACTTTCGCTGGCTGATTTCATAGGACTGAAAAATTACTTAGGTGGGCTGAACTGGAATGACCTGACTAAGGGTCAGGTAGGTGGTGATGGTTGCCGATATGATGCTTTCCAGGGCATAGTTCTAGCTGCTCAGTCAAATTATGTTCCAAATAGGGAAATCAGATCAAACAAAATGATCCTAAATGGATGAACAATAGATTAAAATATCTGATTGGTCAAAAGAGAGGCATATATAGGCAAATCAAAAGAGGAGAGGGGCAATTGAGAAATCGATATATTCAGTTAAAGAGAGAAATAAAAAAGGGAATTAGAAAAGCAAAAAAGAGATTATGAGGTTAAAGTTGCAAGAGAATCGAAGACTAACCCAAAAGGATTCTTTCAGGTATTACAGAAGTAAGATCAGGGACAAGATAGGCCCACTCAAAAGTTCCTCGGGTCAGCTCACTGACACTGTAAGGAAATGTGTAGAATTTTTAACACATACTTCCTCTCAGTTTTTACACAGGAGGATAAACCCGCGATATTCCAGTAATGATAAATTATGTAGAACAGGACGATAATAAACTGTGCACTATTAGGGTCACAAGTGACATGGTCCTTAGGCAAATAGATAAATTAAAACCTAACAAAATCCCCAGGCCCTGATGAACTGTATGCAAGGGTTTCAAAGGAATGTAAAGAGGAGCTTAGCACCCCTTTTGGCAAATCTTTTCAACATATCACTACAAACTGGCATGGTGCCAGATAAGTGGAAAATGGCAAATGGATACCTATTTTCAAAACAGGTGACGGGTCCTTAGCTTCGAAACTATAGACCAATAACCCTGACCTCCATAGTGGGAAAATTTAAGGAATCAATAATTGCCGAGGCAGTTCATAGCCCCCTGAAAAGCATAAATTAATCAACGAATCTCAGCATGGTTTTACAAAGGGGCGTTCCTGCCTTACGAATTTATTAAACTTTTTTCACTAAGGTATTTAGGGGGGGTAGTCTGGTTTGAATTGTTTTGGTATAGGGACTTCAGAAAGGTTTTTGGACGGGTCCCCCCATCAGAGACTTTGAGGAAAAATTAAAGCAATGGAATAGGAGAAATTTTTTCCGGGTAGGGCATTTTTGACAATAGGCAGCAGAGGTTTGCTAAATGGGGGAAATCAGAGGGGGGAAGGTCACAGCGGTGTTCCAGGGGGTATTTTGGCCCCCTGTGTTCACAATCTACTAAACACATAGATGGGGCATAAAGACGCATGGGGCAAGTTTGCCGATACACCAAAAATGGGCCCGTCGAATTCATTCTGACGAGGCTTTCGAGCCCCCGGGAAGATTTGAATGACTGATGCGTGGTCGGAGAAGTGGCGATGCATTTTTAAATAGAAAATGCAAATTCAAAATGTTGGCAGGACAATAACCAGCCACTAAAAACTAAATAATGTAATTTTAATATTACGGATTGCGAAAAAGATTTGGAGTTCTGTTTAGCAGTAATCTAAACCCAAAGAAAACAGTGCATAAGTGTTCGCAATAAAGCTAATGAACCCTTTGGCTTCTATCAAGAAGCATAAATAATGGGAGTCCTAGGTTTTCTTCAACTCTTACACCTTTTGGTTAGGCCCATTTAGATTATGCTCCCACTTTTTGTCCCGTTTACAAAAGGGATAAAAATTTCTTGGAAAATGTACAAAGGAGGATAAAATTTGATCCCATGTTCAAAAACTTTCCCTATGAGGATGACAAAGGGGCCCCTGAAACTGCACTCTCTAAAAGACGTAGAATTAGGGGGGATATATTGAGGTGTAAAATGGAAACAGGGGAAAAAATAAAGGGGTTTTAAATAGTGTGCTGAAATATCTACCTAAACAGGGGTCGCAGCAATGGTTTTAAATTGGGAAAAATTCAGATTCAGGAAGGAATAGGAAAGTATGGTTTGGTAAAAGTTGTGGATAGTGGGAAAAAAACTCCCAATACTTATAGAGGCAAACGTTGTGTAGCTTTAAAAATAGGTTGGGTAAAAACATGAGTAGATGTGGGTGGGTGTGAGTTAGACCTGATAGCTTGTGCTACCAGGTCGGTTGCCGTGTTCCTCCCTTAAGTCAATGTGACCTGACCTGACTAGGTTGGGTGCATTGGCTTAAGCCGGTAGGAGACTTGGACCTGCCTCGCATGGGCCAGTAGGCCTTCTGCAGTGTTCCTTCGTTCTTATGTTCTTATGTTCTTATTCCTACGATGATAGGCTGGAAGTACTGAATTTGCATTCTCTGGAAAGACGCAGAGTTGGGAAGGGGGGAGAGGAGGGATATGATTGAGGTGTACAATTGGAAACCCGGAATAAAGTCACTGAAAATACCTAACCGAGACAGGACTCGAAGCAACAGGTTCAGGCTGGGGAAACATAGATTTAGAGAGATTATAGAAAAGCATTGGTCCGGCAATAGAGTTGTGAATGAATGGAACAAACCTCCGTGCAGCATAGCTCAAGCAAGAACTTGTGTATCTTTAAAAAAAACACAGGTTAGACAGGCACATAATTATGTGAGGTAAAAGGACATCTGTGCAGTCATACACATAGGTACGAGGTGTGGGTAGGTTAGGGTTGCCTAGCATGGACCAGCAGGCCTGCTGTAGTGCTCCTTATGTTTCTAACATATCAATACATGTTGGTAGGTAAGACACATAGGCAACAGTTAGGCAACTTTATTCCAAAACGTTTCGCCTACACAGTAGGCTTCTTCAGTCGAATACAGAAAGTAGGCAGGAACAGTAGAGATGTGAAGACGATGTAATCAGTCCAAGCCGGTAGGAGACTTGGACCTGCCTCGCATGGGCCAGTAGGCCTTCTGCAGTGTTCCTTCGTTCTTATGTTCTTATCACCCTTGAAGTCGTAGAATTCGAGGTTGTCAGTCCCTCAGCCTGGAGAAATTCAGTTCCATAGTTCAGTTCCTGACTATGGAACTGAACTTTTCCAGGCCGAGGGACTGACAACCTCGAATTCTACGACTTCAAGGGTGATGGACTGATTACATCGTCTTCACATCTCTACTGTTCCTGCCTACTTTCTGTATTCGACTGAAGAAGCCTACTGTGTAGGCGAAACGTTCCGGAATAAAGTTGCCTAACTGTTGCCTATGTGTCTTACCTACCAACCTGTCGGTATTGTATACCATTTTGATGTTCATATCA